AAAGACAAAGTAAAAGAATGCAAGAAAAACAGAATAAAAATAAAGAAGGAAGGAAAGAAGGGGAAGAAGGAAAGGGAGGAAAAGGGAAAGAAATAGAATGAACTCAAATGTAAAGTTCCTCTCTAGAAGTCACTAGGTGGAATTTTCTCCTCGGGTCAGTTTCTGCTGTCCTCTGTGCCCACTCCCTGGTTAGGAAATCTCCAACTCGCCCAGATCTGCAGTGGCAGAGCTGCTCCTGGTGGAGGATGTCACTGTGAGGCCCGAGAACGCTACCATCTACAACCATCCTGACGTGAAGGTGAGGAGACGCCTGCCTGCGGTAAGGCGAGGGACTTCACCTGCTGACAGTCAAGCGCTCAGGATGTGGAAGGACGAGCTGCAGTGTCCTTAAGGCCAGTCTGTGGCGGTCTGTCTTGTTGTCTTCTGTCTGCACACTGCTCTTTTGTTACATACAAGTCATCTCCTGGGGGGCTGGAGAGATGGCTCAGTGGTTAAGAGCATTGCCTGCTCTTCCAAAGGTCCTGAGTTCAATTCCCAGCAACCACATGGTGGCTCACAACCATCTGTAATGTGGTCTGGTGCCCTCTTCTGGCCTGCATACATACATGGAGACAGACTATTGTATATATAATAAGTAAATATTAAAAAAAAAGTCATCTCCTGTGGGCTATAAACCAAAAGAATGGAGCATTGTTTGTCTGATCTTTCTACAGGAAGTATTTCACCTGGTGGAAGGGTCTGGCTACTTCCTAGTCAACAGCAGTGAGCAAGATATAGTCACCATCGTTTACGCGGAAGCAGAAAGCTCTATCCAGGTGGGTTGGTGGGCTTTCCAAGCTCAAGGTCTCAGGTCAAAGTGCTTTTTTGTTTTGATTTTGTGTTTTGAACTTTTTAATCACATTATTTAGTGTGTGCGTGTGTCTGTCTGTCTGTGTGTATGTGTCTTAGTGTCTGTCTATATGTCTCTGTGTGTGTCTAATCTATATTTTTAGACATCTTTACAAATGAAGCATAAACAAAGCAACACACCTCTACATAGTTAAACAAATATTCCACAACAAGAGATGGCTCAGTGGTTAAAAACACTGGCTGCTCTTCTAGAGGACCTGGGTTCGAGTCCCAACACCCACATTCACAACTGTCTGTAACTCCAGTTCCAGGGATCCTCTGGCCTCTGAAGATTACCCATCACATGACAGTTTATCAGTATAATTCATATCACAGCTATTATCATGAAGGAATATTGGATTTTGTCAAATATGTTTTCTGCATCAACTGAAATAATTATATGATTTCTGTCCTGAGTTCGTGTAGATTATGAATCACATTTATTAATACATGGAACCAGCCCTGCATCTCTGGAATGAAGCCAGTTCAGTTACAGGGAACAATCTTCGTTGTTGTTGTTTTCTTTTTCATTTTGTGAGACAGCGTTTCTCTGTATAACAATCCTGGCTATCTTGGAACTCACTTTGCAGAAGAGCCTGGCCTCAAACTCAGAGACCCGCCTCTGCCTCCTGAGTGCTGGGATTAAAACTGTGAACCACCACTGCCTGGCTCAACAATCTTTTTGATGTGTTGGGATTTTTTGTTGTTGTTTGTTTTTTTAATTTTTTTGATTTTTGTTTTTCTGAGACAGGGTCTACCTATGTAATCCTGGATGTCCTGGCACTCACTGTGTAGACCAGGTTAGCCTCAAACTCACAGAGATCTGCCCGCCCCTGCCTTCCTAGTGCTGGGATTAAGGCATGGATTACCACTTCCAGTTTGATGTGTTCTTGAGTTTGGTTTACAAGGTTTTGGGGTTTATTTTTGGGTTTTTTTTTAAAGGTAGTTTTTAAGACAAGGTGTCACTGTTTGCCCTGGGTAGCCTGGTACTCAGTATGTAGACCAGGCTGCTCCTAGAGTTCAAGGCTTGTCTCATCTCTGCCTCTATCCCACGGGTACTGGGAGTAGAGACACGAACCACCATGCCTACCTACAGTATTTATTTTGTTGTTGTTGTTGTTTCTTATTTATTTATTTATTTTGTATACAATATTCTGTCTGCGTGAATGCCTGCAGGCCAGAAGAGGGCACCAGACCTCATTACAGATGGTTGTGAGCCACCATGTGCTTGCTGGGAATTGAACTCAGGACCTTTGGAAGAGCAGGCAATGCTCCTAACCGCTGAGCCATCTCTCCAGCCCTGTTGTTGTTTCTTCAAGACAGAGTTTCTCTGGGTAGTCCTGGCTGTCCTAGAACTTGCTCTGTAGACCAGGCTGGCCTCAAACTCACAGAGATCTGCCTGCCTCTGTCTCCTAAGTGCTGAGATTAAAGGCATGCGCCACTACCGCCCAGATTTGTTTTTAATAAATGTTTTATTCTACTAGTTTTTAAATTATGTATACATGAGTGCAAGTGGCAGCCAGGGCCAGAGAAAGGCGTCTGGTCCCCGGAGCTGGAGACACAGTGCCTGTGACACGTGGGATATGGGTGCTGGGAATTGAACTGGGTGCTCTGGACACAGTGATCACGGCCACTGACAGCGGACACAGGGTGACCACGGCTGTTGCTGCATAGTAAGTAGCTTTGGTACAAAGACAGAAGCCACGTGTCATCCATTTTCCCCGCCACCTCCACCTGCAGTCATAGCCCATACATATGTGCTTTCTTCATGAAAGCCTTCCCTGCTGGTGACTAAGGAGCAGGGGTGTGCTAGAGCCTGCTAATACAGGTCTGTGGTTCTGCCTCGCACTGAACACCATCTACTTCCTTCTAGGTGGTTCCAGTCCATCCTGGATTTCTAACCTTGGAGGTGTACGACCTGTGCTTGGCTTTCTTGGGTCCAGCAACTGCCTGGCTCAGGGTGTCAGACATACAGGAGGTGGAGCTGGATCTGATCGACAAGGTGAGCGCTGTGCTGTTTCGTGTCAGGAGTGGCACACGCCTGATTCACTCCCCCAGCACATTTACGAGTATCTCCTCCACTCAGCTCCTGCAGGCCTTAGACTAATGCAACACCTTTAATCCAGCACAGAGACAGGAGGATCTCTGTGAGTTCAAAGTCAGCCTGATCTAAAGAGTGAGTTCCAGGAGAGTCAGGACTACACAGAGGAACCCTGTCTCCAAAAACAAACAAACAAAAAAAATGTGCACATCAGACTAGAGAGATGGCTCAGAGGTTAAGAGCACTGGCTGCTCTTCCAGAGGTCCTGAGTTCAATTCCCAGCACCCACATGGTGGCTCACAACCATCTGTAATGAGACCTGGTGCCCTCTGTATATATAATAAATAAATAAATCTTAAAAACAAAACAAAAAAATAAAAAACAAAAACAGTGTGCGCCATCACCACCTGGCTGACTTAATTTTTTAAAAAAGAGTAATCCCAGCACCCAGGAGACAGAATCAGGCAGATCTCTGTGAGTGTGAAGCCGACCTGTTCTACCTCATGAGCTTCAGGCCAGCCTGTGCCACATAGTGGGGAGGGGAGAAGAGGAGAGGCTGGGGTGGAGAGAGCTGAGTGGATGGCTCCCTGGGTGAGAGTGCCTACTGCCAAGTCTGAGAACCTGAATCCCCTAGGACCCACGTGGTGGGAGAAGAGGGCTAACTCCTGCAAGTCATGCTCTGACCTCCCTGGCACACTGGTATATACAAGTGTGCACACAAAAATAAACATACAAAGAAAGGAATGAATGGGGGGGCTACAAATATCGCACACAGCTTCAAGATCATTGCTCAGAGGCCTACCAGGAGCATCTGGATGCACAGAAATGTCTGTCCCCTCAGTAATGTTCTCATCCTTACTCCGTGGAGTGCATATACTACATGCTACCTTTTTCAACTGCTAGGTTGAGATCGGCAAAACCGTGTTAGTGGTTGTGAGGGTTCTTGGCTCTTCCAAACACCCTTTTCGGAACAAGTACTTCAGAAACATGGATGTCAGACTTCAACTGGCGTCTGCCATTGTCACCCTGAGGTGAGTTCTGATCAGTACCGACAGTCTCCCTCCTGCTGGCCTGGTCAGCTTCCCTTACCAAAAGGATTCCCTCCTGTCCTTTTGGTAGTTTACCAGTCCATGTTCTTCCCACAATCTGTGTCTGTATTCATTCAAGCTGGGTGCTGTGGTGTGTACCTGTAAGCCCAGCGTTCCAGAGGCTGAGACACAAAGACCACAGGTTCGAGGCCAGCCTATGCTCCATAGGACTCTCTGAAAATGAAAGTAGGGGCTGGGGAGATGGCTCAGTGGTTAAGAGTTTGATTCCCAGCACCTACATGGTATCTCACGACCATACATAACTCCAGTTCCAGGGGCTCCAACGCCCTCTTCTGGCCTCCGTGGCACCAGACACACGAGTACACAGACATGGGCACAAACTCATATACTCATATAAACTAAAATTATAAAATTAAATATTAAAATTTAAAAAGTCAAGAGCCCTAACTGTCTTGTTTGAGCACTAAAATAGGTCTTTTTTTTTTTTTCTGAAACTCTCTTGGGATGTTATCTTTTGGGAGTGCTTCTGCCCGGAAGACCTTTGAAACTGTGTTGGCCAACGAACACTCTTGGTATTCTTCTTTGAAAACGAAGAGATACAAGGATTTCCTGGGCACAATAGCTTATGTAGAGTTCCAGGACAGCCAGGACTATAGAGAGAGACCCTGTTTTGGAAAACAAAATAAACCGCTGGGCAGTGGTGGCGCACGCCTTTAATCCCAGCACTTAGGAGGCAGAGGCAGAGGGATCTCTGTGAGTTTGAGGTCAGCCTGGTCTACAGAGCTAGTTCCAAGACAGTCTCCAAAGCCACAGAACTCCGAAGCCTGTCTCAAAAAAAAAAAAAGAAAAAGAAAAGAAAGGAAAACAAAATAAACCAAGCCAAACCACTACCAGAGCCACCTGGTCTTCCTCACCCCCACACTGACCTTTGCAGGTTAATGGAGGATCAGGATGAGTACTCTGAAAACTACGTGCTCCGGGCCATCACCGTTGGGCAAACCACACTTGTGGCCACTGCCACAGACAGGATGGGAAGAAAGTTCACATCCACACCGCGGCACATCGAGGTGAGTAGACGCTGCCGTCTGTGCAGGTCCTCACTTAGTGTCGTCCGTCCCTTCTGTTTACACATGGCAGGCTTTCTTTGGGATTTTTCTGTTTACAATTAACTGTCTCCTTTCCCCCAGGATTAAATAAATATATGGGATCCAGTTCTTGTAGAAAATTTAGAAAGCACAAAAAATGTTAAAGATTTAGAAATGTCAGGGTAAAGTGGGCACACCACACACACACACACACACACACACACACACACACACATATATGTATTCATGGGTGGGTGAGACGGCTTAGCTGGTACAATGCTTGCTAGCAAAGCCCCATTGTCCCCTGAGCTCAATCCATGAACACATGGTGGAAGCAGAATCTGATGCCTGAAAGCTGTCCCCTGGCTTTCACACACATGACATGCACACACACTAATAAAAATAAATTAATAAGCCCGGTGTGGTAGCACACACCTTTATTCCTAGCCCTGGGGAGGCAGAAGCAGGTGGTTCGCCACGAGTTTCAGGCTGGACTACATAGCAGGTTCCAAGACAGCAAAAGAATCGTAGTGAGACCTTGTCTCAAAAATCACTAAAAATAATTTATCAATAAATGGAATAAGAAATCTGTGCCATGGGAGCTGGAGAGATGGCTCAGTGGTTAAGAGCATTGCCTGTAATGCTCTGTAATGACGTCTGGTGCCCTCTTCTGGCCTGCAGACATACACATTCTGTATGACAGAATATTGTATACATAATAAATAAATAAATATTAAAAAAAAAGAAATCTGTGCCAGGCAGTGGTGGTGCACGCCTTTAATCCCAGCACTCAGGAGGCAGAGGAAGGCGGATCTCTATGAGTTTGAGACCAGCCTGGCTACAGAGCTAGTTCCAGGACAGTTAGAGCTGTTTCACAGAGAAACCTGTCTCGGACTCTACCATTATCAAGCTTTTCTTTATGGTAGTGCTTCTTGTAACATCAGAACTCAATAGGCGGAGACAGGAGAACTGTAGCAAGTTTGAGACAAGCCTGGTCTATCTAGAGAGTTTAAGACCCATGCCCCTCCAGAACTTCACAATTAGACCCTGCTTTAATAAGCAAACATACAAAAGTATATTTTCTGGGGCTAGAGAGATGGCTCAATGATTAAGAGCACTGACTGACCTACCATCTGTAATGAGATCTGGTGCCCTCTCCACCCTGCAGGCGTACATACAGAGAGAGTACCATATACATAAAATAAATCTTTAAAAAAAATTTAAAAGTAGCTGGGTAGTGGTGGAGCATGCCTTTAATCCCAGCACTCGGGAGGCAGAGGCAGGCGGATCTCTGTGAGTTCGAGGCCAGCCTGGTCTACAGAGCTAGTTCCACAATAGTCAGTACTGTTACACAGAGAAGCCCTATCTCAAAAGTTCAAAAATAAATAAATAAATCAAAATTAAAATAGTAGGGTTTCTTCCATTTTTAATTCTATTCACTTCCTCTCAACTTTTTTTTTCCTTTTTTTAAAAATTTTGTGTGTTTTGCCTGTATGCCTGTGTGTCTGTGTACCATGTGGAAAGCAGAGAAGGTAGGCCCGAGAGGGTGTCAGATCCTCAGGGACCAGTCACACACAGTTGTGAGCCACCACGTGAGAGCTGGGAATCAAAGCCAGGTCCTCTAGAAGAACAGCCAATGCTCTTTTTTCTTAATTTATTCCCCTCTTATATAATACATCCCGACTGCAGTTCCCCACACACACACCTGCCAGGCCCCACCCACCCAGGTCCACTCTTTTTCTGTTCCCTTCAGAAAAGAGCAGGCCTCCCAGGGATGTCAGCTTCACATGACAGCAAGATACAATAAAACTAGGCACAGACTCGCATATCAAGGCTGGACAAGGCAGCCCAGTAGGAGGAAAAGGGTCTCGAGAGTAGGCAGGAGAGTTAGAGACACCTCCACACTCCCACTGTTAGGAGTCTCAGAAAAGATCAAGCTAAACAACCAGAACACACATGCAGAGGCCCTCGCAGACCCACAGAGGAGCCCCGCCCTGCTTATTCTCCAGGTGTCATTTATCCTCCGGCTCCTACAGTTCTTCTTCCCCTGCCTGTGGACTTCCCCAAGCTCCATGAGGAGGCACTGATGGAGTTCTCCAGGTTGGGCTCTCTCAGCATAGAGTTTAGCTGTGGGTCTCTGTATCTGCTCCCATCCGCTGCCAGAGGAAGCCTCTCTGATGACAACCATAGCCAGTGCTCTTAACCTATCTCCCCAGTTTCTCCCTCCCCGTCTAACTCCTGGCATCAAACTCCTAAGCTCAGTGATTCTCCTGCCTTGGGCTTCTGAGTACACAGTGTAAGTGTGTAACAGCATTCTCAGCTCCCCTGAGTACACAAGTGTAAGTGTGTAACAGCATTCCCAGCTCCCCTGAGTGCACAGTGTAAGTGTGTAACAGCATTCCCAGCTCCTGAGTACACAGGTGTAAGTGTGTAACAGCATTCCCAGCTCCCCTGAGTACACAGTGTAAGTGTGTAACAGCATTCCCAGCTCCCCTGAGTACACAGGTGTAAGTGTGTAACAGCATTCCCAGCTCCCCTGAGTACACAGTGTAAGTGTGTAACAGCATTCCCAGCTCCCCTGAGTACACAGGTGTAAGTGTGTAACAGCATTCCCAGCTCCCCTGAGTACACAGGGTAAGTGTGTAACAGCATTCCCAGCTCCCCTGAGTACACAGGTGTAAGTGTGTAACAACATTCCCAGCTGCTCCCAGCTGGGTATTTTGTTTGTTTGTTATGACAGGGTCTCAGTCTGTAGCCCAGACTGTGGAACTCACTATGTAGACTAAACTGGCCTTGAATCCAGAGATATCTACCTACTTCTGCCTTCCAAGTCCTGGTATTAAAGACATGCATCACCTTGTCTGGCCTCTTTGACTATTTTAACATAAATAAGTAATACTACCTTGTTTGTTTTTGAGATAGTGTCTCATGTACTCCATGCTGGCTTTGAACTCATTGTCCTGGGGGTTGAGACTACAGGCGTCTGCTACCCAAGTCCCGTTTCATGTGGAAGTGGAGCCTGAGCCCAGGACTCTATCTATACTAGTGTCGTGGCAAGCACTCTACCAACTGAGCTACAGCCCCATCCCTATCCAGGCTCTTCATCTTGGTCTGTTTTATTTTAGATTTATTTATTATGGATACAGCATCTGCCTGCATGTATGCCTGAGGCGAGAAGAGGGCACCAGACCTCATTACAGATGGTTGTGAGCCACCATGTGGGTGCTGGGAATTGAACTCAGGTCCTCTGGAAGAGCAGGCAGTGCTCTTAACCACTGAGCCATCTCTCCAGCCCCCTCATCTTAGTCTTACATTAAAAGTTATTTCTCAGGGCTGAGAAGAAGGCTGGGTCAGTAAAACGATCACAGCACAAGCACTGGGACAAAAGTAGGAGGAGAGCTGCAGGTTCAAAGCCAGCCTGGTCTGCATATTCTGGCAAACCAGAACTGCATTGTGACATCATCTGTGAAAAACAAGAGAAGTCAGACAGTGGTGGTGCACACCTTTAGTCCCAGCACTCGGGAGGCAGAGGAAAGCGGATCTCTGAGTTTGAGGCCAGCCTGGGCTACAGAGGGAGTTCCAGGACAACCAAGGCAAAGAAACCCTGTCTCAAAAAAAAAAAAAAAAGACAAAAAACAACAGCAACAACAACAACAAAACATGAATAGATAATCAAAAGATAGGGGCTTAGTTGGCTAAACAGTGGTAAAGTTCTTGCTAGCATCTCTAAGACCCTAGGTTCTAACACCGGGATGGAAAAGAGTAAGAAGATGGTTTGCAAACACACCTTTACATTTTTTAAATGTTTTTTTGTTTTTTTTTTCCTTTTTATTTTTTGGGGATCTTGGGGGAATTGTTAATTTTTTGTTTGTTTGTTTGTTTGTTTGTTTTCTGAGATAGGGTTATTCTGTGTAGCTTTAAACCCTGTCCTGGAACTAGTTCTTATAGATCAGGCTGGCCTCTAACTCAGAGAGATCCACCTGCCTCTGCCTTCCCAAGTGCTGGAATTAAAGGCATGCGCCACCACTGCCCGGCCTAATTTATTTATTTTTATTTAATGAACATTTGTTGTGTTTTGCCTGCAGATATGTCTTTGTAAGAGTGTTGGTCGCCTGGAGCTACAGACAGTTGTGAGCTGCCGTGTAGATGCTGGGAATTGAACCCGGGGTCCTCTGGAAGGGCAGCCAGTGCTCTTAACTGCTGAGCCATCTCTTCAGGCCCCATATCTTTACATTTTTGACACTCGGTGGCATATGCCCGAGAATGAGATATTTTGTTTTCTATAGTTTATGTTCAAAAAAGAAATTAAAATATAATCTTAACTGTTTTTTACATTTATTTTATTTATCTTGTGTGTGGAAGGTACTAATGCCACAGCCAGGATGTGAGGGCAGTGGAATCAGCCAGGCTTGTCAGGCTTGGTGGCAAGCAGAGTAAGCTGCTTAAACGAGTTGAGTTGTTTACTAATGTAAGTCAGACCACAGTGCACATGTCTGTGTTTCTAGTTCGTGCACAGCAAGCAGTGTTCCTTAGGATATGGCCACAAGAGCAGAGCTGACCGTGGCTACTGTCGCCTTTTGTTCCTCTCTAGGTATTTCCTCCATTCAGACTTGTTCCGGAGAAAATGACGCTGGTTACAACTAACATGATGCAGGTGACTCTCTTGGGGTTTTTCTGGGGGGTTGGGTGTTTTTTTGTTTTTGGTTTGGTTTGGTTTGGTTTTGGTTTTTTGAGACACGGTTTTTCTGTAGCTTTGGAGTCTGTCCTGGAACTAGCTCTTATAGACCAGGCTGGCTTTGATCTCACAGAGATCTGCCTGCCTCTGCCTACATTAAAGGTATACGCCACCACTGCCTAGCTTGTCGGTGGTTTTAGCTTTGGGTTTTGAGACAAGGCCTTACTATGTAGCCCACACTAGCTTCGAACTCCTGACAACCCTCCAGCCTCAGTCTTTCACGTCCTAGAATTACAGGCGTATACCAATAATATATGCCAGTCTATATCAGTGATTTAGATGATTTTTATTCAGATTTTTTTGTGTTTTTGTTTTTGCTTTTGGTTTTTGAGACAGCCCTGGCTGTCCTAAAACTAGATCTGTAGACCAGGCTGACCTCAGACTCACAGGGATCCACCTGCCTCTGCCTCCTGAGTGCTGGGATTAAAGGTGTGCGCTACCACCACCTAGCTGAGATTTAGTTATTTTATGCGCATGAGTGTTTTGTCTCTATGTATACCACATGCAATACTCAAGGATGCCAGAAGAGGGCATCAGGTCTCCTGACCTGGACATAAGCGCTACCTGTGATGTGGGTACTGGGAATTGAATCAGGTCCTCTGTAAGGGCAGCCAGTTCTCTTAACCACTGAACCATCCTTCAGACCCCAATATAGATACTTTTAAAGCATAACATGATTTGCTGTTTCTGTTTTCCATGCATACACATCTCCTGTACACCCAGGGCAGCTGGGCTGATGAAGAAGAAAGTCAGGTCTCTGATCCATGATACACGTGGTATTCTTGGGAGTCCCGTGGGCCATTTGTAGCACACAGTTCTTGTACACACATTTGAACTGATGTGGTGTATACTGTCCAGGAGATGGGGAAGAGATGTGATTGCCACACTGCAGGCGCTCACTGGTGTTTGAATTGCAGATAATGTCTGAAGGCGGCCCTCAGCCGCAGTCCATCATCCACTTCTCCATCAGCAACCAGACGGTAGCTGCTGTTACCAGGCGGGGACAAGTCACAGGGAAAGTGGTTGGCACAGCCGTCGTGCACGGCACCATCCAGACAGTGAATGAAGACACTGGCAAAGTCATCGTGTTTTCCCAGGTATTTCTTGCTATGCTGTGCTCTGCTCTTGAATCTTGGGGTGATGGGCACAGGTGACAAGGAGGATGCCAGCAGACCAGGAATGCCCGTCCAGCTCCCCTCATCTGGTGTAGAAAACACGTGGGCTCTGGCAGAGAACCCACAGAGCTCTTGGCATTGTTGTAATATGTGGTCCCGAGCCCTTCAGAACTTTTTTAAAGAACAAAATCAAACATATGTGATCGGGCTTTTCGTTGCCGTTGAACATCAGGAACAGTATGTCTAAGGAGCTAGCTGTAAGCATCTCTGTCAGCGCGGGAACTCCCTTAGCTAAGCTCACTCTCCACTTGTTGCGCAGGATGAAGTCCTGATTGAAGTTGTCCAGCTACGGGCTGTGAGGATCCTGGCAGCCGCAACCCGACTCGTCACAGCTACTGAGGTCAGTTGTACAGAGCATGTGGGTTCGCCTTCCTTTCTCTCTCCCTCCCCAAATCTGGTTTTATTTTTTTTCTAGGATTTATTTATTATTGCCAGGCATGGTAGCTCACACCTTTAATCCCAGCACTCAGGAGGCAGAGGCAGGCAGAGTTCTGAGTTCAAGACCAGCCTGGTCTACAGAACAAGTTCAAGGACAGCCAGGGTAACCCAGAGAAACCCTGTCTCATGGGTGTAGCGCCTGCACTATGGGGCAGTACGCAAGCTGGGAACTAGGCTGGAGACTTGAACACACACACACACAGAGACTTGGGGCCACGGGTCATCCTTGAAACAAGAATGCCAACTTTATTGTACTCAGGGAAGCTTATATAGGGATCCTTAACTGATAACCACGCCCCAGCTCTTGGGATTTCCAGCTGTAAAACCCACCAGAATTCACTCCCCTGCCATCAGGAACTCATGAGGGTCTCATGCTCGGAGCAGCTTCAGGCACAGGCAAACAAGTTGTTTTGCTCAGTTCACTCCAGCAGGCAAAGGGTCTGAGGCAGGCAGAGAAAGTCAAGGGGTCAGGGGGTCTGCAGTCCCCAACATATGGATGTTTTCCTGCATGCGTGTCTGAATAGCACATGTGTGCCTGATGCCCATGGAGGCCAGAAGAAGGCATTGGATCCCCTGAACCTGGAGTTATAGACAGTTGTAAGCAACCATATGGGTGCTGGGAATGGAACCTGGGTCCTTTTGAAGAGAACCCAGTGCTCTTAATGGCTCTTAGCTCCTATGTATGTGGTTTTCCTGATACAGAGTCTTGCTATGTAGCCAGGGCTTGCCTGAAACCAAAGAAAATCCTGTGCCTCAGCCTCCAAAATTCTGAGATTCCGGGGTGTGCCACCACGCCCAGCTCTAAGATTCAAGGTCTGTGCCACCATGCCCAGCTCTGAGATTCCGGGCACGTATGTGCCGCCATGCCCAGCTCTGAGGCTGGTATGAGAGCCATGTTCTGGGCTCACTGCTCTGATAATGCTGGGTAAGCACACCCAGCACACTGTGATAAAGCACAATGTCACACTTGGTTTTCAGATGCCAGTTTACGTCATGGGAGTGACTAGTACCCAGACTCCTTTCTCCTTCAGCAATGCCAGCCCCATGCTCACTTTCCACTGGTCCATGAGTAAGCGAGATGTGCTGGATCTGATACCCAGGCATTCAGAGGTATGGACTTATCTGTTTATATTGCCATGGGAGTTTTAAGATTTATGTATAATTATTAGTTAAGGGAGTACACATGTGTGCAGGAGTCCTTGAGGCAAGAAGTATCGGATCCATCACAGGTACTTGTGAGCCAAGGTTCCTGCAGGAGCAAATGCATCTCTCTGGCCCTTCACCTGAACCCCCACAAGTGTTTTTGACAGGGTTCCATTATTTAGTAGTGGCTGTCCTGGAACTTACTATGTAGACCAGGTTGGCCTCAAACTTGCAGTGATCCCCCTGCCTCTCTCCCATCATGTCTGGCCTGCCTTAGGAACCTTCTTGCTGTCTAAGGTTTTCATGACTTGTTCATTCTTCCATTACTTGGACTAAATTGACATAATTTTATTTATGCAAAAGTTTATCATTTAGCCGGACAGTGGTGGCGCACACCTTTAATCCCAGCACTCGGGAGGCAGAGGCAGGCAGATTTCTGTGAGTTCCAGACCAGTCTGATCTACAGAGCGAGTTCCAGGACAGCCAGGGCTACACAGTGAAACCCTGTCTCAAAAAAAAAAAAGTTTATAATTTAAAAGTAGAAGCAGGAAAATGTAATTTATTTATACTTCAAATGAAAGACAAAAATCAGGAAAAAATAATAAAAGTGACACAAGTGTCCTGTATTTACTTTTGCCCAGGAATTTATAATTCAGTCTGGAATGGAAATCTCAGATTTTCTAGATTTTTTTTTTTTTGGTTTTTCGAGACAGGGTTTCTTTGTGGCTTTGGAGCCTGTCCTGGAACTAGCTCTGCAGACCAGGCTGGTCTTGAACTCACAGAGATCCACCTGCCTCTGCCTCCCGAGTGCTGAGATTAAAGGCGTGCGCCACCATCGCCCGGCGATTTGTTTTGTTTTGTTTGCAGGGTTTCTCTGTGTGGCCCTGACTGTCCTGGAACTCGTTCTGTAGATCAGGCTGGCCTCAAACTCACAGAGATCCGCCTGCCTCTGCCTCTCAAGCACTGGGATTAAAGGTGTGCGCCACCTCCACCTGGCTCTTTTCTAGATTTGTACATTCACATCTGAGATTCTGCATTTTCAGCGTCCTTTTTGTTTGCTGAGGGCATTTCATGGCATCTCGAGAACGTTAATACTTTGGTACCATCCATAGTGCAAGCACGAGGCCCTGCTTTGGAATCCCAGGAGCCATGTAAAAAGTCCCAGTGTTGGGGCCTCTGGCCAGCTAGCCCAGTCCAGCTGATGACCTCCGGCCTCAGTCTCAGAAAGTCAGGTGGAGAGCCATTGAGGAAGGTGTCCAGCATGGACTTCTGGTTTACACACAAGGTAGACAGGGAGGAACAGCTGCGTAAGTTATCCCGTGACCACACGTGTGTGCCCAATTTATGCGTATTTACAAACCACATTCACAGATACAGATTTTGAGCCTGGAACCCCTCGGTGGGGATGTCAGGTACCATGGGTATCATCCAGCTGCTATAGCTCACTGCTTGGCAGCTGGATCTGGGTTGAGCACCTTGCTTTAAGAGTAGCTAACCAAACTGCCCCTCCATGGTTGCCTCTGGTCTCTGGTGGATCTGGATGGACACAGAGAAATTGAACAATACTACTTAAGACTATGTCTCTGACCAGCAGAATTGGCTCAGCAGTTAAAGCACTCACTGCTCTTCCAGAGGACCTGGGTTTGATTCCCAACACCCACTTGCCTGCTCATAACTACCTGTAAATCCTGCTCAAGGGGATCCACCTCCCTCTCCTGGCCTCAGGGGGTACTACATGCAAATGGTGTACAGCCATATATGCAGGCAAAACATTAATATCTATAAAATTAATATTTTTCTTTGTTTATTTCTGTTGTTTTTAAAAATTTATTTATGTATCTTATATATATATAGTGTATGTATGCCTGCAGCACCGTATTTCATTACAGATGGTTGTGAGCCATCATGTGGTCTGGAATTGAACGCAGGACCTCTGGAAAAGCAGCCAGGGCTCTTAGCCTCTGAGCCATCTCTCCAGCCCTCTGTTGTTGTTTTTGACACAGGGTTTCTCTTTGTAATAGCCTGCATGTCCTGGAACTCCCTCTGTAGACCAGGATGGCCTTGAACTCACAGAACTCTTTGGGAGGCAGAGGCAGGCAGGTCTCTGAGTTCTAGTCTACCTGGTCTACACAAATTTCACACCTTCCAAGACTATACTGTGATACCTTGTCTCAAAATTAATAAGAAGAACAAGACTTGTAAGTTTTTGAAAATGGTTTTCATGCCTGTTCCATCAGACTGCTCACACTGAAGCCTGAAAAAGACAGAAAAGGGACTGGAGAGATGGCTCAGTGGTTAAGAGCACTGGCTTCTCTTCCAGAGGACCCAGGTTCAGTTCCCAGCACCCACCTGGCAGCTCACAACTGTCTGTAGCTCCAGTTCCAGGGGATCTGGCACCTTCACACCAATGGACATAAAGTTAAATCTGTTATTTTCAGCGCATCCCTTTACTGTCTAGGTGTCTCTGCAGCTTCCAGCAGAGAACAACTTTGCCATGGTTGTTCACACAAAAGCAGCTGGTAGAACGACAATCAAGGTCACGGTCCGAAGCGAGAGCGACTCCTTTGGGCAGTTTGAGGGGAGTGTGCTGGAACTGTCTGACGAGATCCAAATTCTGGTGAGCACTCCCCTAGGTCCCGCGTCTGTCAGCCCAGAAGCTGCTGCTGGCAACAGCTGCGGTCTGCAGCTCTAAGCGTGCCCGCCTTATCACACAGTGCAGAAGAAAACCCGGGTGGGGGCGCAGAAGGTGAAGTGCTCGCTGCCGAAGCCTGGGGACCTGAAAGAGACAGAGATGGTGGTGCATGTCTCTAATCCTAGGGCCCCGACAGGCCCTGGGCTGGCGCGTACAGTGGCATGGCGGAGAGGAGAGACATACTACTGCAGCTCTGCCAACTTTAGAAAGCTCTCCTCTCACTTAAACTTAAAAAAAAAAAACCTGTTGGGCCGGGCGGTGGTGGCGCACGCCTTTAATCCCAGCACTCGGGAGGCAGAGGCAGGCGGATCTCTGTGAGTTCGAGACCAGCCTGGTCTACAAGAGCTAGTTCCAGGACAGGCTCCAAAACCACAGAGAAACCCTGTCTCGAAAAACCAAAAAAAAAAAAAAAAAAAAAAAAAAAAAACCTGTTGTCCTCTGACCACACAAATACAGTGGCACATACAAGCATGTGCCCACGTGTCTCGCACACGCAAGCATGTGCCTACGTGTCTCACACACGCATGTGTCCATGTGTCTCATACACACACACAGTAAGCGTAAACAACCCTAAGAAGGAAAAGTAGAAAAAAGTCCAATTAGTGGGTAAATAAGTGAAAGACAGTCTTCCCTTTATTTTGTCCTTGGTTCCGTGACTCGGTATAGAGACAAGGAAAGGACCCTTAAGTAGGAAGCAGAGGAGCTGGATTGTAGTGTGGTGGTTTTGTTGTTTTACTCTTTGGCTTTTGGGGGGGCCCACCACCCAGCTCCCAAATAAATCACACATGGAGGCTTATTCTTAGTTGTGAATACCCGGCTTTAGTTTGGCTTGTTTCTTGCTATCTTTTCTTAATTTAAATTATCCCATCTACCTTTGGTCTCAGGGCATTTACCTTTCTCTATTCCTGTATACTTTTTCTTTCCTCTTACTCCGTGTATGGTTGTGTAGCTGGGCAGCTGGCCCTGAAGATCTTCCTCCTTCTCTCTCATTCCTAGATCCTCAGATCCCCCATCCAGATTTCTCCTCTCTGCCTGCCAGTCCCGCCTCCTCCTCTCTCCCTTCTCCTATTCCTTTCCCTTACCCTTGCTCCTGCCTCACTATTGGCCGTTCAGCCCTTTATTAGACCCTCAGGTGTTTTAGACAGGCTCAGTAACACAGCTTCACAGTTAAACAAATGCAGCCTAAACAAAAGCCACACACCTAACACAATATTCCTAACACTGGATGGTGCCTCTCCTGACTTTGTATCTGAGTCTTTGCTTCCAGACCTCAGTTCAGTGAGCAGAGCTGAAACTGGGTCTCTAGTGACTTTAATCTACCACAGAGACTGTAGCCAGTGAGGTTTGCTGCATGCCCAGTACTTCAGGAATAGAGCTGTGAAAATATACTTTAAATAATATATTATTTTTAATAATATATAATGTAGGGCTGGAGAAATGGCTCAGCGGTTAACAGCACTGACTGTTCTTCAAAAGGACCTGGGTTCAGTTCCCAGCACCCACATGGCAGCTCACAACTGTCTGAAAATCCAGTTCCAGGGGATCTGACACCTTCACACCAATGCACATAAAATAAACAAATAAATCATGAAATTAAAAAAAAGAATAATATATAACATATAATAATATCAATTTTAATATTTTTTGGAGACAGGATCTCTCTGTGTAGTCCTGGCTGTTCTGGAACTCTCTAAATAGATCAGGCTGGCCTCAGAATCACAGACTCTGCCATGTGCCTCTGCCCTGAGGGCTAGGATTAAAGGTGTGTGCCACGAGCCCAGATGTAGATCGTGTACTCTAAACTACCACATATGTAGCATGCACCTGACTTGTTGTAGGGAGGGGTGTGGAAGGCTGTTTAGACTAAGTAGAAACCAGGCGGACTGTTGCTGCCTAGTTACCGCACGTTCAGCGCACAGTCCCATTGCACTGTCCTGAAATCCATCCATATGGGAATAAATATAATAACCTGTCTTCTCCTGAAATAAGGGGAAGTCATTTTCTCCCTATAGGTGTTTGAGAAACTCCAACTCTTCTATGCAGACTGCCAACCTGAGCAGATTCTGATGCCTATGAATTCTCAACTCAGGCTCCACACCAACAGGTAAGTGAGGGAACCCCAGTAAGATGTCCTCTCTCTCTCTCTCTGTCTCTCTCTCTCTGTCTCTCTCTGTCTCTCTCTCTCTCTGTCTCTCTCTCTCTCTCTCTCTCTCTCTCTCTCACACACACACACACACACACACACCCTCTGATAAATGAAGTTTAAGAGCTGGCAAGATGGCAAGACACTCAGTTTATAAAGATGCTTAGGGCACAAGCCCGAAGACCTGAGTTCAATCCCAGAACCAAGGGAAAAAGCAAGATGTGGGCCATCTGGCTCGAAGTAGGAAGTGCAGCAACAAAAACAAGAGGCCCCATCTCAGCAAGGAGGCAAATGCACACCTGCACACACACATTAATAATAATTTAAAAAATATTTTAAAAATTCAAATCACATATGGAAAGAGCTACCTGTGGTGATATTTCATTTGTATTTTTTTTTAAAACAAATAGATGACTTTATTAACCATGGACAAAAAACGTGGACAAATTTCAAGACTTAATAATATTTTAAAATCCACGAAATAGCAACCCAAAGATAACTAATTAGAGAACAAAAAGACAAGGCATTGATTTAAAGAAAATACTCACAAATATCACATCAAATAAAGGAATATAATCTGTGAATATAATGTATGTGAAGAGAAAAAGGGGAAATGATGGAGGAGGGTCATCTTTCTATCTGTTGTTTCATTGGTTAAATAAAGAAACTGCCTTGGCCCTTTAATAGGACATAAAATTAGGTAGGCAGAGAAAACAGAACAGAATGCTGGGAGAAGAAGCTGAGTCAAGGAGTTGCCATGATTCTCCCACTCCAGATAGACGCAGGTTAAGATCTTTCCTGGTAAGCCACCTTGTGGGCTACACAGATTATTAGAAATGGGTTAGTTCAATATGTAAGAGCTAGCCAATAAGAGGCTGGAACTAATGGGTCAGGCAGTGTTTAAAAGAATACAGTTTCCATGTAATTATTTCAGGGCATAAGCTAGCCAGGCGGCCGGGTGCTGGGGATGCAGCCCCGCCACTCCTATTGTAACAGTGAAGACTCCCAGATCTCAGCATCCACAGGCCTGACCTGTGCCATCATGAAGAGCAAGCACATGGTGGAGAAATGGGAGAGGGCTTATGTAGGGCTGATGTTGGTGGCCTGCTTGTCAGCCAGGACCAGAACCAGGGTGAACCAGGGTGACTTTCATTTGTATTTTAATAAATAAAGCTTACCTGAAGATCAGTGAGTAAAACAGCTGCCCTGGTCAGTCAGCCTTAGAGACCAGGCCGTGGTGACACATGCCATTTGTAGACAGAAGTTTCTGTCCCACCCAGTCCTGCAGCCATTCAGTCCCAAATAAACACACAGACTCACATTAATTTTAAACTGTTGGGCCTGTTAGCTCAGGCTTATTACTAACTAGCTCTTAAACTTAAATTCACCCATAATTCTTGCTTATGTTGAGCCACCTGACTTGACTTAGTACCTTTTCTCAATAAGGCATTCTCATCTTGCTTCCTCTGCATCTGGCTGGTGACTGACTCTCTGCCTTTCCTCTTCCCAGAATTCTCTTAGTCTGGTTGCTCTGCCTATACTCACTGCCTGGCTGCTGGCCCATCAGTGTTTTATTAAGCCAGTACAAGTGACAAATTTTTACTGTACACAAGAGCATCATCCCTCCCACAGCAGTACCGTTTACTCTCAAGTGATTTTTCTAATCTGAATAGTTTTTCAAAGATGAAATAATTCATACAACATAAAAATAACCAAAAGGCTATTTGCATGTATATGTGTGTGAGTGAGTGTGTGTGTGTGTGTCCGTGTCCAGGCACACGCTGCGGTAGCATGTGGAGGACAGAGTTCAACCTTCAGCAGTCAGTTCTCTTTTGCTGATGGGATCCTAGGATCAAACTCAAGGTGGGCTTTTGTGACAAATACTTTTACCCAATTTGCTATTTCAACTCCTTATGAGGGTGACTATGTCCTCCTGCTGTTCCTGTTTCTACCTCCTCAGTGCTAGGAGTACAGGTATGTGCAGCCATGCCTGACTTTCCACGTGTGTGTCTGGGAGAGAGTCTCAACATCTTGGTCCCCCTCCCCAGCTCCCCTCCACACCTCATGTATGTTTGCTTTTTGACTATTGTGAATATTGATGCTGTAGACATTCATATATGAGTATTTGTTTGAATATCTGTTTTCAGTTATTTTGTTCAAAGAATTTTCTAATATACAACAGGGTTTGTTTTTTAAAGAGAAAAGCATAGGCCGGGCAGTGGTGGCGCACGCCTTTAATCCCAGCACTTGGGAGGCAGAAGCAGGTGGATCTTTGTGAGTTTGAGGCCAACCTGGTCTACAAGAGCTAGTTCCTGAACAGGCTCCAAAGCTACAGAGAAACCCTGTCTCGAAAAACCAAAAAAAAAAAAAAAAAAAAAAAGCATAGGCCTGGGGCTAGTGGTTTATGCCTGCTGTCCCAGCTGTCCCAGCGTGTGGGGGGAGAGGCATGGGCTGGCGAATTATAGAGTCATCTGAGAGGAGGGACCCCAGCTGAGAAATGCCTCTGTACAATCGGGCTGTAGGCAATCCTGTAGGACACTTTCTTATTTAATGATTAATGCAGGAGGGTCCAGCCTATTGTGTGTGGTGCCATCCCTAGGATGGTGGCCCTGGGTTCTATAAGAAAGCAGGCTGAGCAAGCCAAGGGGAACAAGCCAGTAAGCAGCTCCCCTCCTGGCCTCTCTGCATTAGCTCCTTCCTGCCCTGCTTGAGTTTCTTCCCTGTCTTCCCTCAGTGGTGGACTCTTGCTGAAAATGTAAGCCAAATAAACATTTTCCTCCCCACATCACGTGTGGTGTCGCCTCACAGCAACAGAAACCTAAGAAAAAAACAGGAAGGTCGGGAATTCAAGATCATCCTTGGCTACTTAGGAAGTTTTGCTTTGTTTTTTGCTTTTGTTTTGTTGTTGTTGTTGTTGGAGACAGGGTTTTTCTGTGTAACTTTGGAGCCTGTCTTGTAACTCGTTCTGTAGACCAGGCTGGCCTCAAACTCACAGAGATCCACCTGCCTCTGCCTTTCAAGTGCTGGGATTAAAGGCATGCACCTCCACTCTCAGCTTCTCAATTTTTATAATAAGGTTTAAAATGTAAAATTTTTATAAACACAGAAGCTGGGCAGGGTGATGCACGACTTTAATCCCAGCACTTGGGAGGCAGAGGCAGGCAGATCTCTGTGAGTTTGAGGCCAGCCTGGTCTACAAGAGCTAGTTCCAGGACAGGCTCCAAAACCACAGAGAAACCCTGTCTCGAAAAAAACAAAAAAAAAAAAAAAAAAAAAGAGAAGGGGAAGAAGAGGAGAGGGTAGTGAAGTGGGAGAGGAAGGGAAAGCCCAAGCCTTAGCCGTGGCTGCCTTTTCCTGTGGAGCATACAACATGGAGAATGCACACAGCACCAGAGCGCAGACTCCAACAGTAGGCCTCGAAACTGTTTGCTTTAAAGTTTCAGTGTTCTAAGACAGGGTTTCCATGTAGAGCCAAGCTAGGCTAGAGTTCACTCTATGGACTAAGCTGGTTGCAAACTCAGAACAGTCCTCTTTGTCAGCCGCCAATGCCTTGTCAGTCTTCACCTGCTTCCGTGTGGTTGGACAGCCCAGAGTGCGCACTTGTTCTGTTTGTCTCCTAGAGAAGGCGCCGCCTTTGTGAGTTCCCGTGTTCTCAAGTGCTTCCCGAACTCCTCAGTCATTGAAGAAGAGGGCCAAGGGCTCCTGAGATCTGGGTCCATCGCAGGCACAGCAGTGTTAGAAGTCACTTCTATAGAACCTTTTGGAGTCAATCAAACAACCATAACTGGAGTCCAGGTGAGTGCAGGAGTAAAGCAATCAAATAATGGGTCCGTGATATAGCTCAGGAGTGGAGCGTTTGCCTAGCGTGCAAAAACTCTGGATCTGATCCCAGCCCCTCAGAAACCCTACAAGTAAAACAAATAAGTATAACTAAGTGGGTGGAAGGCCCTGGCGCTGAAAGGCAGTGTCCTCCTGAGAACTAGGCGCTTCTCTGAAAGACAAGGAAGCCTCTAAGAGCAGATTCCAACATCCTGAGAGCAGCTTCAGGCAGCATCATGGAGGGACAGTACGGCCCTGAAGAGAGGGATCAGCCTCCCATTAGTGTGGCCACAGAACTGCCTCTACCAGAATCTACTTCTGAAGCTGGGTGTGGTAGTGCAGGACTTCAAAGTTCAAGGCCAGCAGGGGCTGCGGAGTAAGACCGTGTCTCAAAGAAGAAAATGTCTGACTTTGTATAGAATTAAACATTTTAGGGTGGAAAGAGGTTTCAGAATGCTTCTTGGCCTTCCGGCTAAGATTAAATGTAGAAAAGGCCTCAGAGGCATGTTAATCTAACAAGGATCTTTTAGACATTAGATATATACTATATTCCAGTCCATATCTAGTCCTGCTGTGTGCACTCCTCTTCTTCCTACTTTAAGAACTGTCTGTACAGGGTGCCTGTAATTGAGAAGGAAGCTGAGATCCAGGACTACACAATGCTATGAAGTGACAAACTGGGGTCAGATTGTGTTTCTTACTGGAGTGTAGCCTTCACACCACAGGGAAAACGAGCCGTATTCCTGACAGTCATGTAGTGATACCCTCTTCCCCTGACAGTTTGGATAATGAAGTAGCCACTGCCTGCGCCATCACAGCCTTCACCGCAAGCGTGTCAAGTCCAAAGCTCTTTCCTGTAAAGGAATGGGGCACGGGTACAAGCCTGAATTCAGATCCCCGTAACCACCAGAAGAGCTCAGTGCAGAGTGCAAGCTTGTGTAATCCCAGTGGTCCACAAGAAATGGGAGGCAGAGACGGGAGAAAGTCTAGAAGCCCAAGGGCCGGCTGGCCTGACTCACACAACAGTGAGGAGGCCTGGTCAAGATCAGAAGGCGGGGATCAACAGCAGACAGCCATGACAGCCATGCTCTGCTCACACACACACACACACACACACACACACACACACACACACACACACTGGCTTGTGACCTTGACTACAGGTTGTAGGTGTGACAACAGCCCTTCTCTAGAGCTGCAGTCCCTGGACCAGTGGTTATGTCTCCCGCAGGTGGCACCAGTGACATACCTTCGAATGAGCAGCTACCCCAAGCTATACACAGGCCAAGGAAGGACCCTATCAGCCTTTCCCTTGGGCATGTCTCTCACCTTTATCGTTGAGTTTTATAATAACATTGGAGAGAAATTCCACACCCACAATACTCGACTTTATATGGCTCTGAACAGGTATGGAGGTGAGGGGTGCTGGGCCCTGTTGGAAGCCTTCAGTTAAGGGCGTGTCTGGCAGCAGTTTTGGCAGGCGCCTCTTCACTCAGAACTTGGAATCTGGTCTCTATTTTTTTACTCAAGATTAAAGCCTGAGCCATGTGCCCATGTGTGGTGTACATCCCTCTAAGAAGGAATGTAAAGAGGGAACCATCTCAGATGCAGAGCCAGCCTGGGCTCCATCAGAGCAGACAGTTCCAGGCTGGTGTGGGCTAGAGTGGGCCCTGTTTTAAGGCAGAGGGGCTGAGGGATGACCAGGGAACACTCCTAACATGTGCAAAGCATTTGGTCTAATCCTCAGCAACACACACACACTCACATACACACTCTCACTCTCACTCTCTCTGTCTCTCTCTCTCTGTCTCTCTCTGTCTCTCTCTGTCTCTCTCTCTCTCTCTCTCTCTCTCTGTCTCTCTCTCTCTCACACACACACACACACACACACGTACACACACACACACACACACACAGCCAGACCAGTTAAAAAGTAGTATTGTCAGCTGGACTTGGTACCTGTAATCACAGTCCTTAGAAAACTGACCTAGGAGAATTGTCCTAAGAGCAAGGAAGCTCCAGGCCAGCTTGGACAACAAACTGAAACTCTCTCTACAAACAAAATGGCTAGAGAGATGGCTCAGCAGTTCAGCATGCTGACAGCACTTGCGGAAAGCTGAGTTCAGTTCCCAGCCCAGTTCTAAGAGATCCAAAGCCCTCTGGGGCCTCTGAGGCTATACACACACAAATAAAACAATTTTTTTAAATCTCTGAGACAAGATTTCTCTGTAGCTTTGGAGCCTGTCCTAGAACTTGCTCCGTAAGCCAGGCTGGCCTCGAACTCACAGAGATCCACCTACCTCTGCCTCCCGTATGTTGGGATTAAAGGCATGCGCCACCACTGCTAGGCTCATTTTACAGAAATTGTTTGTCTGTTTGTTGCTCTGGCTAGATTAGTACTCACTATATAGCCCAAACTGGCTTAGAACTTGGCAGCATGGATGCTGGGCACACAGGAATGAGACTTCTCACTGGCAGCCAGCGCCTTGTGTATGCCTGCTAACAACCCAGTATCGAGTTACATGCTCAGCTGTCCTTTTCAGACACTCCTGCCTTTTGTATCTTCCTTAGAGATGACTTGCTGCTCATTGGACCAGGAAACAGAAACTATACATACATGGCCCAGGCTGTGAACAGAGGGGTGACGGTTGTGGGGCTCTGGGACCAGCGGCATCCTGGCATGGCGGACTATATTCCTGTTGCTGTAGAACACGCCATTGAGCCAGACACCAACCTTACCTTTGTTGGTGATGTCATCTGCTTCAGCACTCACCTGGTCAATCAGCATGGTAGGTGTGCCTGTCCTTCACCACACCAAAGACACTGATGTCATGTGTGGTGGTCAATCAGCATGGTAGGTGTGCCTGTCCTTCACCACACCAAAGACACTGATGTCATGTGTGGTGGTCAATCAGCATGGTAGGTGTGCCTGTCCTTCACCACACCAAAGACACTGATGTCACGTGTGGTGGCACATACTCTTTTTTTAAAAAAATATTTATTTACTTATTATGTATACACTATTCTGTCTGTGTGTCTGCCTGCAGACCAGAAGAGGGCACCAGACCTCACTACAGATGGTTGTGGGCCACCATGTGGTTGCCGGGAACTGAACTCAGGACCTTTGGAAGAGCAGGCAA